AATGACAACTACAGGTATTTACTGAAAAGATTTTTATACAAACGTTCATGGAGCTTTATTCGTAATAGCCCCGAACTGGGAACAACCCAAATACCCATCAAGTTCATGGATAAACATTGTGATTTAGAATGGACTAAGCAATAAATAGGAATGAATGACTGATTTTATATATAGTATAATATTTTTAATCTTCATTTGCTGATGTGGCAGAACTCAAAATGAGAAGAAACAGCTGCAAACATCCATTAATATAGGAACGTGTAATGTACAAAGTATGAATCTAGGAAAATTGGAAGTTGTCAAAAAGGAAATAGCATGCATAAACATTGATGTCCTAGGCATTAGTGAGCTGAAATGGACTGGTATTGGCCATTTTGAAGCAGACAATCATATGGTCTGCTGTGCCAGGAATGACATATTCAAGAGGAATAGCATTGCGTTCATCGTCATAAAGAACATTTCAAGATCCATCCTGAAGTACACACTGTCAGTGATAGGATAATATCCATATGCCTATAGGGAAGACCAATTAATACAACTATTATTCAAATATATGCACCAATCACTGAGGCCAAAGATGAGGAAATTGAAGATTTTTACCAACTTCTGCAGTCTGAAATTGATCAAACATACAATCAAGATGCATTGATAATTACTGGTGATTGGAATGCGAAATTTGGAAACAAAGAAGGAACAGTAGTTGGAAAATAACAGAATTGGTGACAGAAACGACGCCTGAGATCACATGATAGAATTTTGTGGGACCAACGACTTCTCCATTGCAAATACCTTTCCTCACCACCATAAACGGCGACGATACATGTGGACCTTGCCAAATGGAATAGACAGGAATCAAATTGACCACATCTGTGGAAAGAGACGAAGGAAAAGATCAGTATCATCATTCAGAACAAGGCCAGGGGCTGACTGTGGGAAAAACCATCGATTGCTTATATGCAAGTTCAAGCTGAAGAAAATTAGAACAAGTCCATGAGAGCCAAAATATGACACTGAGTATATTCCACCTAAATTGAGACCATCTCAAGAACAGATTTGACTCATTAAACACTAATGACCAAAGACCAGAGAAATTGTAGAATGACATCAAGGATATCATATATGAAGAAAGCAAGAGGTTATTAAAAAGACAGGAAAGAAAGAAAAGATCAAAATGGATGTCAGAAGAGACTCTGAAGCTTGCTCTTGAATGTAGAGTAGCTAAAGTGAAAGGAAGACATGATGAAGTAAAAGAGCTGAAGAGATTTCAAAGGGTGGCTCAGGAAGACAAAGTATTGTAATGAAATGTACAAAGACTGGGAGATAGAAAATCAAAAGGGAAGAACACACTTGGCATTTCACAAGCTGGAAGAACTGAAGAGAAGATTCAAGCCTCGAGTTGCAATATTGAAGGATTCCATGGGGAAAATATTAAATGATACAGGAAACATCAAAAGAAGATGGAAGGCAGAGTCATTGTACCAAAAAGAATTGGTTGACGTTCAGCCACTTCAGGAGGTAGCATATGATCAAGAACTGATGATACTGAAGGAAGAAGTCAAGCTGCACTGAAGACATTGGCAAAAAACAAGGCTTCAGGAATTGACAGAATACCAATTAAGATGTTCCAACAAATGGATGCAGTGCTGGAAGCACTCACTCGTCTATGCCAAATTTGGAAGACAAATACCTGGCCAACCGAGTGGAAGGGATCCATATTTGTGCCCATTCCAAAGAAAGGTGATCCAACAGAATGTGGAAATTATCCAACAATATTATTAATATTACACAAAAGTAAAATTTTGCTGAAGATCATTCAAAAGCGGTTGCAGCAATACATCGACAGGGTAATGCCAGAAGTTCAAGCCAGATATAGAAGAGGACGTGGAACAAGGGATATCATAGCTGATGTCAGATAGGATCTTGGCTGAAAGCAGAGAATACCCGAAAGATGTTTACCTGTGTTTTATTTACTATGCAAAGGTATTCAACTGTGTGGATCATAACGAATTATGGATAACATTGTGAAGAATGAGAATTTTAGAACATTTAATTGTGCTCATGCGGAACCTGTACATAAACCAGAGGCAGGCATTTGAACAAAACAAGGGGAAATTGAGTGGTTTAAAGTCTGGAAAGGTGTGCGTCGGGGTTGTATCCTTTAAACATACTTCATCTGTATGCTGAGCAAATAATCTGAGAAGCTGGACTATATGACAAGTTCAGCATCAGTTAGGAGGAAGACACATTAACAATCTGCGATATGTAGATGACACAACCTTGCTTGCTGAAAGCAAAGAGGACTTGAAGCACTTATTGATGAAGATCGAAGACTACATCCTTCAGTATGGATTACACCTTAACATAGAGCAAACAAAAATCTTAACTGGACCAATAAGCAACATTATGATAAACAGAGAAAATATTGCAGTTGTTGAGGATTTCATTTTACTTGGATCCACAATCAACCCCGTGGATGCAGCAAAAAAATCAGTGACACGTTGCATTGGGCTAATCTGCTGCAAAAGACCTCTTTAAAGTGTTACAAAGCAAAGATGTCACTTTAAGGACTAAGGTGTGCGTAATCCAAGCCCCATGGTGTTTTCTATCGCCTCATATGCATGCGAAAGCTGGACAATGAATAAAGACGACTGAAGAATTGATGCCTTTGAATTATGGTGTTGGCGAAGAATATTGAATATGCAATGGACTACCAAAAGAATGAACAAATCTGTTTGGAAGAAGTGCAGCCAGAATGCTCCTTAGAAGCAAGGATGGCAAGACTTCATCTCACATACTTTGGATGTGTTATCAGGAGGGACTAGTCCCTGGAGAAGGACATCATGCTTGGTAAAGTAGAGGGTCAGCAAAAAAGAGGAAGACCCTCAACATGATGGATTGACATAGTGTCTGCAACAATGGGCTCAAGCATAACAATTGTGAGGATGGTGCAGGACCTGGCAGTGTTTCATTCTGTTGTACATAGGGTCGCTATGAGTCGGAACCAACTCAAAGGCACCTAACAACATACAGACATAATTATAAAAACATGCAGAGTGAAAGAAGCCAAACACAAAGTAGTATGTAATGTGCAGTTCCATTTATATGAAATTGTACAGCAGGCAAATCTAGTTTCCAGTAACAAAAAGCAGGTCACTAGGCCAGCGGTGGAGATGAGGGGTTGACTGCAAAGGAGCAGGAGGAAACTGTTTTGTGTTATAGAAATGTTATCTTGATTGGTGGTGATGGTTACACGAGTGTTTGCATTTTTCAACACTCTTGTCAAAATTTAAAATGAGTATATTTTACTGTATATGTGTATACCTGTATAATGTTGAATTTAAAGACAAAGTATACACCCTTCCTCTCATACCAAAAAACAATTGAGGTAGGTCAACAAAGGTGGCTGCTTTTATTTTAAGACTCACATTTAAATGTCTTCCTACTTATAGAGAAGCTTAAGTTATATTAAGGGTAGCATCAGTGACAAGATTATTTCCTTGATTTCTGTGCCTTACGTTAAATGTTGAAATAAGTGAGATGTAGAGATTATTCCTTTACTCTAAATGGATGCAATAGGATGTGTGTATGGGTTTCAGATAATAGCATGTCATGTATTTCTACTAAATATTAATAACTGCACTTCACTGGATGTTTTAAGGATAATTTTTTTTTTTTTTAAATGAATTAGAAAGCCATGTATAGATACTGGTTTTGTCTACTATTCCTCCCCTTCGTTTCATCCCTTGCAATCAAGGGCTAGGTTTAGATAACCTGGGTCACACTCTTCTAAAGGCTTCTGGTGATATATTTTGGGTTTCTCTTAGAAGATTCTTTATAACCATTGGGTGGCTTCTGTAGTTGTTAATTTTGTTACACCTAAGATAATACTTCATCATTTTATTTAGCTAATTTGGAAGAAACTTAGGCCATAACTGCCACAAAAATTATCTAGCTAGTGGCAGTTATCATTGTGCTTTAAAAGAATTTCTACTTAAAAGTATTAATCAGCAGCAAATATATGAATTACAACTATGCTGTAAAGAATTAGGATTATTATAATTACTGTTAGGAACTTACCTTCTCATAAAATAGTCAAGTCTACAAAAGTAGACTTTTTACACACACACACAGACTTACACAAAAGTTAAGCAGGCAATTGACGTTATAATTGAGGGTCCCAAGCAAGGTAGACTTTGTATGGATCAGAGAATTTGGTGTGGGCAGGCAAGACTGGGAAATCTTCTGGGACAGATGGAATTTCTATTGGATCCTGGTTTATGATCACTTGGCTGGGGAAAAAAAGATCTCCTCAAGTTAGTATGTTGTCTTATGAGTACACAGAATTTTTTCTCTTTTCTTGTAAACAGTAACTGTATGATTTTATGTAAATATTCATTACATTACCAATATTTAGAACTCATGGAAAAAAAACACACATTTTAAAGGAGAAACTATGGAAATTTAAACACTAAAGATCTTTTTCACTTTATAGCTCCTTCCAAGGCAATACTTCAGAATGTTCATTATACATGGCTTTTCAAAATTTGGTTTTGTTCTTCCTTTTGTTACCTGAGATGTACTTATTTTTCTACTTGAGTAGTGTTATGTTCCACTGCATATAAATCTACCTATTATATAGGTAAGAGCTAGCATTTCTCTTGGCCCTAAAATCTGTAACTAGCTCCACTGATAAAAGTGAGAGTAATTTTGTAGTATCTGATATTCTTTTAGGAAACTTTTAAGTCCTTTTTCTGTAAATACAGTGATTGAACGTTTAACTGTATCTAAATGCAAAGAATTAACTTGAAGGTTTTTGGCAAATATTTCTCTATGATATAGACATTCCAAAGCTATGTAATCTCTGATATAAAGTGAAATGCAAATTTTACATGCTTGTATGAACTTATTAAACTCAACAAGGATATTTTTCTTCATTATGAGGTTCCCAAGTAAAAGCCAGTCAAAAGAATAGTGAAAATAAATCCCATGCCAATAAATTACTTCAGTCTGGTCAATAATTCAACTTTCTTAGGTAACAAAACTGTACAGACTTTAAAAAGCAATTTTAAAAATTGTTGCTAAACAATAATTTTTTAAGATTACAGTCAATAGATATTAATGGGCAAATGTTTCATACTGCAGAAGGCTTTTTTTAAAGTAATGTGTTGTGTTCTAAGTATGTTTATCATTGTGATAGAGTAAAATTTTAAAGTTATGATAACCAGTTAATATATAGGACATATAGGAGATAGAGTCTTTTCATTCAGTAAAAGGTCATCATTAATTTTAAAACTGATGATTTTTTAATGCCTTCCTAGTTCTTGATGGTCATTATTGAAGTATAATGCATTGAAGATATGGCCTGTACAAAGGCAGAACAGGGATCTTAATTAGAATTCTGACAAGCCCACTCTAATAAAATGATGAGATTATTTGTAATTGATGTCACAATCAATTACCATGTAGTTCATCATGAGCATTCTAATAAGTCTGGCCTTGGTACTGGCCCCAGGATTTTGCAGAGTGAGTGGCTGCCCTGTTTATGCTGTTACTGAGACAGGAGGGCACATTTTCAGTCAGCATCCTAATGACCTCCTTTGAAGTCTATTAAATTAATGACCCTGTCACACTATTTTGATCTCTCATAACCTCTGTTTGGGGTTTGTGTAACAAATTGTTTGGGAACCATGTTACAAAAAAAGGTAAGACTTAAAAAAGTTGAAACGTTTGATATTGACTAAAAATTATCATTTTGTTGTGCAAGAAATAAAAGCAAAAATGTAAATAGTAGGATTTGTATGTATTTTATAAAAGAACTTTTAGGACATTTTCCTCATCACCAAAACGCATGTTTTTTATTTGTAGTGCCCAAATTAGTTTTTTTCTTTTTTAAAGGGGCTGCTTTTCTTCTCTAATTCTAGGTGCCAATGGGTCATGTTTGGTTAGAAGGTGATAATCTACAGAATTCTACAGATTCCAGGTACTATGGACCTATTCCATATGGATTAATAAGAGGACGTATCTTCTTTAAGGTAGTGTTTTCTGTTTAAGATGGAGGCTTTCTTCTCTAAGTAGGAAAAAAAGTTGCTTTCAGCATGAACTTTGAAATCTAAGGGCTGTCATTGGACTTAACTGTTGCAATGAATACATTTTATGAACATGCTGGTAATTATTTCATAGCTGTATATAAAACAGTACTGTCCCCCTCCCTATAGATAGAGGTAATTAAGAATCCCCAGAGTAATTTTTGTTTGAATAATAAATTTCAAACAACTTTAGTTATAGCTGACTGAACACCTGCAATCTCCAAAAATCTACTTTTCTCTTGTACAACTTCTACAACAATATATAGCCTGAGCACATATATTAAATACACTCACTCCTCACTTACTGACATGGTTAGGTTTCAAAGACCAGGTCATTATGTGAAAACTCGCAGGTCAGATGGCAGGCTGCTGGCTCACAGGGCCACCGGAGCTGGCAGATCGCAAATCTACAGGTCAGGCAGCAGGCTACTTGCTCATGTCCCAAAAACCGAAGGTCAGATAATGATGAGTCGGATGCAGCATCCAGAGTGAGAGTGAGCCTTGCTGAAACATCATTTCTCTTGGAAGCAAGCCAAACCCCCAAGGAAACACCCTTTTCCACTGATTGGCTGCTCACATGAGATCACAAAATGGAGGATGACTACATCATTACATAACTGCCAAACCACTGAGAATCATGGCCCACCCAGCCAAGTTGACACATACCCATCACAGCCAGTGTTACTCTCACCTCTCACCTCGGCATTCGTTACTGCCAGATGTATGTCGTTAACGTGCAAAATAGAGAGTAGATTGTTTACTATTGTTGTAAATGCAAAATGTCAGATAATCAGACGGTTAAGTGAGGAGTGGGTATATTCATTTGCAGAGACAGTCGATAAGTGAAGAGTGGGTATATTTGTTTGCAGTCGAGCCAGTCTAGAGTCCAACAACCCCATACTAGGATACCTCAGTAAAGTGAGTACAGGACTTAATTGTGGTTATAGTAAATGTTTGAGTCTTGGAAAAGGTGGTTTTCATTAGCTCCTCCTTTTTGTCACAGCAGTAAGGGAAAAACACACATGAATATTTGGGGTTGTTGGATAATTTACAGGATTCTTTACATTTAAACAGATGTCATATTGAAGTACCCAAATCCTAAACATTTTAAGTTGAAGGTTTACAGTTAACTCTTATTTGGGGTAGTAAAAGCAAGCATACATACACAATTATATACCCACATATATATTCACACAATACATAATTTTTTGTATATTGTTTGAATGGCCCAAACTTCAGAGTTTAAATACATACATACCTACAAGCTTATTTTCTAAAGTCTTATTATAATGCAGAAAAAATTGTTCTTGACTGAAGAGTAAAGAGAAAGCATATAATTATCTGGCATAGAGAAAAGAGATATATGGAAAAAAAGGATTATGATGATAATATAATATCACTTTCATTAACTGTCTTCAACCACATTTTTATTTTACAGATTTGGCCTTTGAGTGATTTTGGATTCCTACGTGACAACCCCAATGGCCACAGATTTTCTGATGATTAGCAAGCATTTATTCTTTTGACTTACTATCTCCTGTTTAAGTGAATTATTGTCACTGAAACCATGTATTCACCAATAAACTATTTGCTATTCAGTTTTAGCTATTTTTGTTAAGTGTAAGGAATAAGCGGCACACACTCTGCAAGCTATGTTAAATATAGCTTGCAAAGTATATGGATAGATAAAAATATAAACCAAAATAAGTCATCTAAATTTTATGACAGATGTAAAAATATTTTTAGGGGAAAAACCTAGAAGACTACCTCACTTTTGGGATTTTTGGTGTTACTGGTATAATGAAAGTAATCTACTCTTCGTGAACATGCCTTATACTTCAGTTACATTTGTGACTGAGAGTAGTTAACTACTCTTATTTAGAAGTCCAACCTGACAACACCAAGAGTTTTCACCTAAAAAGCTTCTATGTCATACGCTTGGCTGACTCATATGAAGTTAAATTAAAATTTTTCAGTGATCCTGTAAAGGATTCCTTAAGGTTCTTTAAATGCTGACTTATATTTTACACAGAATGTTATATATGTAGAAAAATAAATATTTAAGGGTTATGACATCTACAGTCAGCTGTAATAAAAAATATAAAAAAGACCATTTCATTATACAAGCAGTGCAATGGTTTTGTTATTCATAATTACAGGCATTAATCTAAATAATCTGAAATGAAAAGGAAACTAGTGTACCCATTTCCAATTTTTTATGATTTTTTTTTAAAGCTTCCATTTCGTAAATTACATTCTAAAATCGAAAATGGCCATGTTCAAGAGCTTACTCCACACTTCAGTATGTTGTTGTTGCTGTTGGGTGCTGTCAAGTCAATTTCAATGCACAGCAACCCCTTAGGTTCTTGCAGGCTATAATTTTCATGGGAGCAGATCGCCAGGTCTTTCTCCCGCAGAGCCACTGGGTGGGTTTGAACCACCAACCTTTAAGTTAGCAGCCGAGTGCTTAACTGTTTTGCCACCAGGACTCCTTCCCTTCAGTACAGCCATATGCATTTGAAAATATAGGGCCAGGAATGGAGTTGAACCTTCTGCGTCTGAAGCCATCCTTTTTTCTATAGTTGCCATTCTGCCTTCTTTATTAACTGTGAAATAACCTCATGAATATCCATATTCAGCCTTCATTATGGGGGAACAAGGCTCATATGTTATTCACAAAGATTCTAATTTAATTCTAATAACCCTAGAATTTGAGATAGACGTAGGATGGCCTGTAACTTTAGCAACTAGAAACATCATCTGCTTTTTTAGTAAACAAATATGATGATACTGTTACCCATTTAAACAGGAGGAAAAAGAAAATTCTTATTTTGTACGAAGGAGGAAACAAACCAATAATAAAGTTCTTAGACAGGAATTGACTAAATTTAATTTCTAATTCAAATCCTTTTTGGGGGAGCAATAGGTAAGTATAAATTATAAATAAAAACAACTAATTTTCTATTTATCTGAGGTGGCCTCTGCTTAACAATCTTATATTTTCTCAGCAAGTAACAGAGATGACAATGAAGAGAATCTACTCATTTAAGCTTCATGTTTGCTCGAATGGACTCTCCTCATCATGTCTGAATACACAGTTAAAGGATTCCAAGTAGTGAGTAACTTCAGCTATAATGAAGGAGTTCTACAATTAGTGAGCATGTATCACAAGAAATCAGGTCAACTTCTTCTACTTCATTCTTGGAAATACTATATTTTCCACCACATCGGCAGCTCAGAGAAAAAGAGTGATCATCTGCAAAGAAAAAAAAATGATTTAAATGATTACCAGTAACTACTTTGTTAATATTTAAAAAAAAAAAAAAAAAAATGCAGTTTATTCCACAGAAATTGCAAAACAAAGGAAGAAACTCAGTGTTTTGTGTTCATTTGTCACCCAGAAAGATACGTCCAAGTCCTAATCCCCGGCACCTGTGAATGTGACCTTATTTAGAAATACAGTATTCCCCCCTTTTCCAAGAAGGATACGTTCCAAGACCTCCAGTGGTTGCCTCGAACCACGGATAGTACCAAATCCTACGTATACTGAGATTTATCCTATACATACATACCTATGATCAAGTTTATTTTATAAATTAGGCACAGTAAGAGATTAACAAGAATAATAATAAAATAGAACAAGTAGAACAATATACTGTAATAAAAGTTATGTGAATGATGGAGCGAGACGGTGTGAGATTTCATCATGCTGTGTACTCATTTAACATTTTTATTTAACTCTCTGCACACAGCAGACAGCACACAACACACTGTAGAAAGAAACTGCGGATAAGGGGGGGCTGCTGTAAAGTACTTGCAGATGTAATTAGTTAACATGAGGTCATAGTGGAGTAGAGTGGGCCCTAATCCAATATGACTCATGTCCTTATAAGAGAAGGTGAGGAAGGAGGAGGAGAGACAGACACATGTAGTGAAGAACTTAACACCATGTGACAATGGAGGCAGAGACTGGAGTTCTACTGCCACAAGCCAAGGAACACCTAGGGCTACCAGAAGTCAGCAGAGACAAGGAAAGATTCCCCTAGAGCCTTCAGAGAAAGCATGGCCCTGCCAACAGGCTAAATTTGGACTTCTAGCCTCCAGAACTATGAAAGAATAAATTTGTTTTCAGCCCTTTGTGGCAATTTGTTAAGGTAGTCCTAGGAAGCTTAAGTATTCAGTAAAGATAAAATGTATTTAAATGAGAGCTAGAAAAACCTCTTGCATGGGGGCAGTGTTTCTAAAAATTGTCTACAATCTTTATCTGTAGAATAAATGGACTGAAGCTATGAATCAACGTACAAAAATCTTGGGAGGAGACGGAATGCTCAGAAAGGACCCATGCTATTTACTTGAAGTCTTATGTTTTCTTAAAATTCATGTAAATTTTACATTCTTCTCAATAATGTAAAGTTTACATTCTTCTCAATCTGTCTAAAACATCACTGTGACCGGAAGAGGAAAACAAAGCCATACCCATTCTCACAGTTAAGGAGCTGGAGGTTTTTGCCTGGAGTGTATCTGTGCTAAGTTGCTTAACAAATTAAGCATATGGATACTTTGTTCTACTATCCCACTAGTTTAAGGATCCTAACTCAAATATATAAACACAACAACAGGGTTTATTTGTTTTTCTATATGAATATATTTGTTGTAATGATTTATGAGCCAACAGGACAATCACTGAAGGGAGACTGCCCAAAGAAGGCAATATGGTACAATGTTTAGCCTACTATTGGTAGAAATTTTATTAAGTTTATCATCTTCCTGAGAAGGTGAAATGCTTGTGTCTTATGAATGAAAGGATCTCTGGATCCACCAGACATTCCATTTTACTGTCTGTGAGAAATCACTGTTAAAGAAAAACATCTTATTGATCACAATCTATTTTACTACTGTCATAATTTTTTATTAGATAAATAATTCTCAGAGGACTCATGATTTCCTACAGTCAAATCTGTTTATTCAGTTTTTAAACTTCATTTTTTAACACTCAGATTCTGTCATATGCAGTATAAAAAAGAAAAAGAAAAATTCAAACACCTTGTCGTTGCTCTCTAATCAAGTTCAGCCTTGGTAAAATTAGCTATCAAGTAAGCCAACTTTATGTGCCTCTTTTATCAGTAAGGAAAATATGAATTCATTTACCTAATCCTATTTATTCTTCACCACAATGCCTTTTTTCTGCATAAAGAAAAATAATTTAATTTTGAATTGAAAAATGCTATCCTCCCTGTCTGAGCCAACATATACATATGTAGTAGAGCATGATTTCAAAGTGAAATGTTTTACTATTAACTTGTCTAAAAAGTATATATTCTAACCAACGATTTTCTTAAATTAAATCTCCCCCTCCTGTTTTTTTACCACCTCGGTGAACACTGAGAAACAGTTTGAAGTGACGTGTTCAGTAAATGATGCGGGGGCTCCATGGGCTACTCTGGAGTTTTGTCACAGATGATTCCAAATGTTAATGCTCACTAAAAACTCGTATCTTGCTGAAATTCCTTCTTACAGTATGCTATCATTATATCTTTACAAACTGATACCATAACAAATCATTTTAAGTACACTGAACGAAAACCAACAAATTGACCAAATTGTATAATACACTAACTGTAAGGGAAAAGGCTAACTTCCATCTCAACAGTTCTTCACATGTGCCTTTTAAGCAAATAAAATGCATCATTTGATGAAATGTCTTGATCAAGCAGACGACAGCGTGGTTATGTCTATCCTGTAGGTTTTTTTTTAATCAACTATTCTGGATCTTCCCCTTCCAAGGCTGTCTGAAACTGAAAGAATCTCCAGACAACTTTTTACTTGCCCAGCTGATCACTTTATTTTACTTCATCTGCCAAGCCTGCCCTTTTCAACTGAAACATTTTTACTTGAAAACTTAATGTGATTAGTTTTAAATATTCCTGTAAAAATAATGGCTTCGTGCAGTTGTTGAACAGTATTTTCTCTTATAAGGATACACCAAAAAACCCAAACGTGTTGCTGTTGAGTAGGTTCCAACTCATGGTGACCCTATAGGATAGGGTTTCCAAGGAGCAATTGGTGGATTTGAACTACTGACCTGTTGGTAGCTGTAGCTTGCCGTAGCTCTTAACCACTGCACCACGAGGGCTCCAAATAAGCATCTAAGGACATCCTATAACACTCCTCCAACATTCTATAACACTATAGCTGCTTATTACTGATTAACTTGGCTATGGTTTGAATTCTTTATCTGCTTCACTGTCAAGTTTGCTGTAGGGAGTACCAGGCACAACAACACCTCTGACAACTCTTGATGATTTCATGCTGTGCATCTCCTTCAATAAGTTGGCATTTTCACTTGCATCAGAAAGCTCTTATATTTGTTGACTGAACAGATACTTGAACCACCATCAATCCATATTCTTAATTCAAAATAAAATCTTATATTTTTAAAAGGTTAGTGAAAAATGAAAAATTATAAAAACCACAGTTTTTACTATTATCGTGTTATCAGGAATCACTGCTTTCTGGAAACAAAATATATGAGCCCTATCAACTATAGCAAGAAGGATTGATATGCCTAGTAAGAGAGTAAACACAGACACATACATACACACACTGACTATTAAGGTAACACATAACTATATTTTCAAAAAACTAGTTGGGCAGGTCTCCCTAGTCTCAGTGATAAATCACATGTTCTAGTCTGTCCCCTCCACGAACTAGCAGTGACAGGCTGTGTCACTGGTGTATTCTATTTTCACAGCAGTAGCTCTCCCCACTTACTGTGATAAAACTATCACCACCACTGGGAACCTCAATTATACAAAACCATCAAATTTTCCAATTATTCACTGCAAATAAGAATTTCCACTCCAGGATTTCATTGGGGGGTGACGGGGTGGTGTTGGGACTGGCAACATAGGCAAAAACATGATTCCCCTTTTAAGTCAATATGGCTTGTGACCCAACTCCCTAAGAGCACTGAAAGTTAAGAATTTCCCATTAGAAAATATTCCGATAAACTTGATTTGAGGAAGGATGTGCTCTACCTATCCATATTCACTATTAAATTTTTTATAAATCCCTAGGGTATTGGTAGGCTGGGTTGAATAACAAAGCTATAGGGTTAAACCAAACCTACAGCCGTTGAGTCGATTCCGATTCACAGCAACCCTACAGGAGAGTAGAATTGCCCCAAATGGTTTCCAAGGCTGTAATCTTTACGGAAGCAGGCTGTCCCATCTTTCTCCTGTGGAGCTGGTGGGTTCGAACCACCGATCTTTTGGTTAGCTGCCAAGCACTTTAACTACTGTGCCACCAGGGCTCCAAATATATATAAAATCTAGGAAATAGTAAGATTTTCTTCATTTGCCCAGAGAAACATGGACGTGTGGTACTCATGGTTTCCATTTAGAAAAGTTTGTTTTCCTAACTTAACAATGTTAGATAACCAGAGTAATTTAAGAAATTATCATAAGAACTGGGAAATAAAACTGGATGTAAATTTTAAAGTTCTAGTAATAGAAAAGGTAAAAAAGTTATGACTTTATGATACATCAAGTGGAATGACAGATTATTCTTTTCCCTCTAAGAAATAATCAAAAAGTGAGGGTAAAAATCTAGCATACAAGTAGAAGTGTATGCCCTGACAGTTTATGATTCCATATAGAGAGAAAATGAACAAAAATTCTAACAGGAATTCATTTCAGTTCTCAACATAAGCAAAAAAAAAAAACTACTGTCTTTGACTTTATTTACCATATTACACAGAGAGTAATGCAAATACCAAAGTAGTTAAAAAAAAAAACTTATTTACCTAACATCTAATTTTCTTACTGAAAATCCCTAATATTTTTCTTCACTGTAGTCAAGCAAAAAAAAAAAAGTTCCAACCTTTATTCCAGGACATTTCTTCAAGATATACTCGCGCATCTACTGGTCCAATGTTTCTTAGATCATCTTCTGTAAAATATACAATTAGACACTTAATTTTGATACTTTAATCATAACCATAAAGAATGCGGAGAAGGCAGCTCCAGCCTGGTGCCTACAATTCTAATATCCAAACCAAACCAAACCCACTGCCATCAAGTCGATTCCTACTCATAGCAACCCTACTTATACCAATTATATATACCCAATTCTAATATACCTACCTACCATTAAAAAAACTTAGCTTACTACTTTTCACAACAAAGTTTTAAGGCTACTGACTTGAGCTGACTGAAAAATCCACAACATACCACTTATAAACTTTAACAGTCAAAATCTATCCCATTTTTCTATAAATATTCAACATGCAAAGCCATGAAATCAATTTGATGATTGTGACCAGCTATTTTGTGGGAGATAGGGACATTTTTTGTCAGATAAACTGTATCTGTATGTAAGGTGGCAGTGTGGACTTGGGTAAAAATAATTAACTACAACCTTCGTTGTAATATTTTACTAGTTTTCTAAACTTAGGTATATCAGTGTTTTCATTTCTTAAAACGGGTTCTCTCTTCCTCATCTATACCTCAGAAGGGTGGTCTTCAAATGAGATTAGGCTAGAAGTGCTTTGGAGAAGAAAGCTCTACCCAAATATAAGAGGATATTAGTCATCTGATTTTTAATTGCTTGCAAAACAATAAGTAACTTAAAAGAGAATTTAGTATTTCAATAATCCCATGACTGTATTGTATTGATGTTCCACTGTTATTTTCTGGGACAAAGTTTTCCCTACAGATGGAAGGTCCAAGAAGTCTGGAGTTCAACCTGAATTCAAAGAGTATGGTCTAGGTAGCATAAGCATGCACTCTGAGATAAAGAAAACAGCTACAGATGGGAAGCACTGGTCTTTGTTTTTAAAGGCACATTATACTTCGTGTATGCTTGTATTCTTCTAGAAGTCAATGCTTAAAAAGAAACTACTAAAATCCACCCCCCACCTCAATGAAATTTTCTTTAGCTGTCTCACTAGTCTCTTGTTCACTTGCTGATAATGCTTCCCTTTGTTCCCTTGTGTGAATGCCTGCAATTTAATTATATTTAATAACTACCTGTTCAAAATTATTGGTGAGTTACACAGTTTTATAATAGATGAACAGATAATACAATATTTTGAACTCACCATGGCTTTATATTAAGGTATGTCAAATATTAATATCACTTCATTTTTACTGGGTACCAACAAGTCTGTCAGACTCTCCCCCAAATCCAAAGACATACAAACCTTGCCCAGTGGTCGAGGGTGGTTCTTCCATCTCTGCAGGCTCACTGAAGAGCTTATGCAGAGTATATCAGGATGCTAATTTCTGAGTAAAACAAAACAATTTCTACATTTCATATAAAGTATGTTTGGCCATGTTAGTTATTCCTCATTCAGTTATTCCTAATTTAAAGAAAGTATTCTACCTAAAAGTCTCAAGGATGGAGAAAAAAAATCTTATCATATGTTTTTTAATTTTCTTACTCATCTATCAATTTATGTCAGAAGGACCAGGGTAGTGTGTTTGAATGAGGAAGTGAAATGCTGTTTTTGATTAGAGGAAGGGAGGTAATAATTGGCACTGAACAGCTCCTATTCAGGGCAAAAATAGGTGTAATCAACTAACAACCAAGTTGTCTATAGTCCAGACTATTTTATAGATATCTTAAGCAATTTTGAAATCAATTGAAGCAAATCAGAAATGACAGAGATAATGACAAGACGAATAAGCCTTCTTAATCTAACCTACCCTAAAAACCAAGCAAACTCGTTGCTGAGTTGATTACGACTCATAGTGACCTGTAGGACAGAGCAGAAATGCCCCATAGGGTTTCCAAGGAGCGGCTGGTGGATTTGAACTGCAGACATTTTGGTTAGCAGCTTAGCTCTTAGCCACTGCACCACCAGGGCTCCAAATCCTGGACACCTATAATACATTAGTTGTACAGAAAAAACAACCCATTCATATATATCCATTTTGCCATTTTTATTTTTAAATAACTAATGAGAAACAACTGGCAAATATAACTGCCAAGCAAGTCAGCTTCTTGTTGTTCTGCTCCTCTACTGGAAAGCAATTGTTATTCTCACCTAATTACTATAAGATCTTGTAATCCTTTCTATTATTCCACCTACTCAAAAAAATAGCTTCTACATTTTTATTATTTTTTCCTCTTCTTTATTTCTATCCACAGGACCTTTAAAGTAGCTACCTATTTTCTGGTTGAAAGATCAGCTTAGACTGTATTTCCTGGTAAAAGGAGTATATTAAAGTATGTCCATGTTCTGTGACTGTGTCTAAAATCCAAATATTGACCTGATTATTCAATACCATGTGCACACAATCCAAACTTCTGTGGGGATTCTGTTTTCAAAAGTCAGTACCTGCCAGAAGGGGACAAGGAAGCTGGTGATAGGGAACACAAGGCTGAGTAAGGATATTGTTGATGTGTTGTGAGATTGTTAACCATTGTCAGAGGGCAACATTTGTAGTAACTGTTAAATGAGAAACTATTTTGTTCTGTAAGCCTTCATCTTAAGTGAGAATAACAGCACAATTGGAAGAGCGTAGTCAATGTCACTGAACTGTGCATGTAGAAATTTTTGAAATGATGTTATCTTTGGCTATGTATATTTTCACCAAAAAAAAAAAAAAAAGGTTGAGAATTTAGAGGGTTAATATGTTGTGGGGTTGTTAACCAATGTCATAAACAACATGTGTACTACTGTTTCATGAGAAACTATTTGTTCTGTAAGCCTTCACCTGAAGTACAATAAAATAAAATAAAAAATAAAAAAAAAAGTCAGTACCTGATAAAAAAAAAACATACTATCTGATTCCCAGTATATGAAATGTAACAGGCAAAACTACTCTATGATGTAGTAAGGGAGGAGAGGGAAGGAGTGACTAGAAAGAGTCACAAGGGGCCTTCTAGGATGCCAGTTAAATGGGTATGTACACTTACAATCTGAGAACTTCTTTCTTTGTATGTTAAACTTCACTGAAAAGTTTTAAAAAGACAGTGCCGGAGATTCTAATGGACACATTTTAAATAGAGATAAGGAAAGAAAAGTTAGGGGAAAGAATGAGTCTCATGAGAAAATGTGTATTCTCGGAAAGGACGGTAATCTAACAACTTCTGAAAAAGGCTGGGGTGATTAACTCGGGAAAATTGGATCCCTGGAGAACTGTATAATGAGCAGAGGGGGTACATACAAGTAAAAGGTGAATCTAAATGCGGGAGGTAGGGGGGTGACCAAGATCCTTTGTTGAGAGGCAGGTGTCCAAGGAATGGGGTGACAGCAACCCCCCCACACACACACACACTACTATTACAAGGAAGGAGCACAAACAAATCAATGTGTTTTTTTCTTTCTTTCTTTTTAAACAATGATCTCTGCTTGTCCACTATTGTGGTTATAATTAGAAAACTCAATTCTTCTCTATTCCCTAAAGTAATCACACTAACCCTGTAATTAGCTTTGATAATTGTCTAGAAACAGGCATGGGATCTGTAAAACAGATAAGTTAGTTTTCTTTTGTAGTATTACATGTTATAAATATTTTTGGTCATTACAATGAAACATTTTATAGGTATCTGAAAAGCCAAAACCTATAGAGTTCTCCGGTTAAATGATACTAAGTATGTTGAGAAAACATAAACTTAGAAAGTGGTTACTTAATTAAAGGAAGACATCCAATCTTTTAAATCTGGAATCTTAGCTACAGCATGGTAATAACTACCAAAAGCTAAAACAAAACAAAAAAGTCATTTGGAAAGAAAAAGCATTGCGTGGCATTTGGTGTGCTCTATCTTGCGTCTAATGACACTACATGATTCCTGATTCTTTTGAAGTGAATGGGTTCAGATTTTCTAAGGTATCTGGGAACATAAAGGTCTGTTCACACCCTGTGCTGTGATGATCACAAGCTTAAACAAATATGGAGACAAGAGAAACTTCCAAATTTACTTACATATAGTAAGCAGTGCATTAGAGTTGAAGAAAAATTTCTGAAGAATATAAAATCAAATAATTTATGTGGTTACTTGAAAAAGAATCTTTCAGTCTTTAGAAGTATTGGCCCTTCTGACCTTGTGTTCTATTGGATTTGTCTGACAACAAGAGGTGAAAGAATTCTGTGGCTCCATTGTCTCAACGGTGGGATCTAAGAAAACACTGGCAGGACTCATCAGAGAGGTTTATGAGCCTGCAATTCAAAGAGATTAAAAGGAAAATCTACGGAGATTCTTTCACACTGAAGAATAACATTAAATAACTATTAGCAGCTTGGTTCAGTAAAGCTTACTAGAGCTCTCGCTGGGTCATTCACAACTTTCTAAAAGAGGAAAGATTTTTTTCAGCTCCATTTGGGAATCAATAAATATTTCTTACTTCTTACAAGACAATGGAATTCCAGTCTTTTTAAACTTTCTCCTAATGACAGTAAAATTTCTAAAACAACTCTTTGTTTGCTGCCTAAATAATTACACTTCCTAATCCCAGGAAACCTTTTCTAACTGTAGCTACAATTCAAAAATAAATAAATAAAAATACCTTTTAAAAAAAAGCAACAAAAAACCACAGGAGAGAGGAATTCAACTTCATTCATTACAGCTGAGATATCTAAAAGTCTCATTAAACCTAACACGGCCAAAAGATCAAGTCCATCTGCAGCTCCGTCCTTACTATTTATGTGCAGTAATGTCATGTTACTCAAGAGATCAATAAATCCCCAGAATGCTCTCATTTAGCAATCAGTCCATTGTATTTATTTTTAAATAATAGAACAGAAGCCATTTCAAAGGCTTCAAGTTTATTTCAAACTTACACTAAAGAAATCACCTGTGTGTGTAAGTTAAAGCAAGAAGTAAAGAGCAGTGTTTTCTTTCAGGTCTAACTCAGTATTTTGCTTGTTTTAAACCCAAATAATTTAATTTTAAACAAATCGCCTCATTCTTAAAAATCATTGTACTATTATAATTAAATTTTT